AACAAAATCGTTGAAAATGGATCTAATATTACAAATTGACTGAAAATATAAAAGAGAATGAATATTAATAATTAACTGCAAATAAAAAATGATCCATAATTGACTAAAAAAAGCAATGGCCAGATCATTGCCTTTTAATTAAAAATAGAACGGAAATTGAAAATTGGACGAAAATATTTCAATAATAATATTTTACATCATCCATAGTAAATGCATATTTTAAACAATAGTAAAGGTAAATTAAAAATGAAACGGAAATATTTCAATAATAATAGCTACATCATTAATTAAACATGGAACGAAAATTAAGTAAAAGTATCACTTCATTTGATATTCTAATTGACTGAATAAATAAGAATAATTGGCTGAAAATGAATCTTATATTACTAATTGACTGAAAATATAAAAGGATCACTAATTGAGTAATATTTTACCATTATATATTTTCACTCGAGTAACCCGTCCTGATGGACTGAATGTGTTAGCTCTAGACGAGGATGGACAAGATTGTGTTGCCACTACAAATGTCATCTACAAAGAGGTTTTAATAATGTGTAAATATAATCAGTGATATTATATTTTTTTAAATGAAAAATTTGCTATATATCTAGACAAAAAATATATCTTCCATACAAATGAATTAGCATATCAATTCATTTCTATAACTGAGTTGTTAGATAAACGAGCACATTTGCCTAATTTATAAAAATACTAAACAATGATAAATAAAATCTTAAAAGTTATAGCACCTCATGCGTACATCTAGACATTAGCTATTAATTTGAGCAATTATTTGCACAAAATTCAAGCAATGATAACATCAAAATACATAAACGATTCAAATCCTATCTTTAATTGCACTATATAGTATTCGACGGTGAAAACCCTGGGTATACCCAAAAAAAAAAATATCATAACAAATCCATTCCGTGTATCGCACGGGTGAAAATACTAGTGAATGTAAAATCGTTTTTCTTAAAGCTTAGGGTAACTATGAGAAATAAAATTATGTGGATTAATTGTTTTGCCTACAAAAAATGAAATACCTCTTGTGCGATTGGAGCAAACTTCCTAGCAATGGTACATTATATTTAACAATATCATCATTGTTTGAAGAGAATATTGTTAATCAATATATCTACAAGAAAATTAGTGAGACTAAGCTTGGTAACTATGAGAAATAAAATTATGTGGATTAATTGTTTTGCTTACAAAAAATGAAATACCTCTTGTGCAATTGGAGCAAACTTCCTAGCAATGTTACATTATATTCAACAATATCATCATTGTTTGAAGAGAATATTTTAATCAATATATCTACATAAAAATTAGTGGGATTAAGCTTGTTATATATTGATAACTTCTTTATTTTTTTGAAAATAATAGATGATGTTGTATAATGTGAAGAGGCTTCTCTCTAAGAATTTTATGGTGAAAGATATGGTAAGACATCCTATGTGATTATATATATATATATATATATATATATATATATATATATATCTAAAAACATAATAAGTCTCAATCAAAGTTATACCCCTAATTTATGTCCATGTTTTTAATGCTAAACATTTTGTACATTGTGCTTTTAAAATTGTACTATACAATTTTTTGGACAAAAATACCCTTACCCCGTTATAACTTCCGTTATCTTTTCCATTACTTTTACCATGCACATGCATCTACCATATCTTTTCTTATATTCTTTAATATATATATATATATATATATATATATATATATATATATATATATATATATATATATATATATATATATATATATATATATATATATATAGAGTTAGGTTCATATGAGAACACCTCTTCAAGTGAGAACGTGGGAACAAATCTTAGCCATCCAAGCTTTAATCTTAACGGTGTTGATGAATTAGTTATTGCCGCTTATATGTTATGCGTTTAGGGGTTTTTGTGTAATTTAAATTGGGTCTATCTATTTTATTAATGGTAAGCCCTGATTTAATGGTTCAGTATTATTTCTTTCCCTTCACGATTTGTCTATTTGTCTTCCCAAGCACGCGTTTTTTTTTTGTATTCATTATTTGGCTTTGGTGTTTGCAATTATTCTTTTTCCGGTGGACTCTCCCTGTATTAGAATTTCGTTCGTCCTCTGCTACTAGGGATTGTGGTCTTCCGCTTACGTAAACGCTGCACTTCCCCGTCGTCGCTGCTTGCACAGTGGTCGTTCCGGCGACTAGGACACGGTGGAAGTCTTGTTTTCGGCGGTGGTCTTGCACACGGTCGGAGTCTCAATTTTGCTCGGTTGTCTTCAGCCACTTTATGGAGGGTTCCGGTATTAGACGGTCTAAGCGCAAGCCTGCGTGTTCATCTGAAGGAGGTATTTTTTCTCTTTATGTTTTTTTTGTTAGGGGTTGACACTAAGCGCCACTACACCTATTTTTTTGGGGGGTTAGGGTTTGGCCATGATTTTTGTGGGGGAGTTGATTTATGTTGACATGCATGGGCTGGGGCGATGGGGGTGGGTGGTGGGTGGTGGATGCGGCGGTGGGGTGTGTATTGGAGAAGATGGGATTCGACTGTGGGTTGTTTATCTGGTGTAGTTGTAATTTTTATTTTTATTTTTGCTGTTGCTATGTTTTTTTGTTTATTTTAGGTTTGTTTCTGTTTTTTTTTTTTTTTTTTTCCAACTAGAGTAGTAGTTGGACATGAACTGTGTTAGAGTAGTTTTAGTTATACACTGTTAATTTTTGAGAGTGTGTGTGCATTTTTTTTTTTTTGTTGGATATTGGATATGGTGTTTTTTTCCCTTTGTTATATAATATATGTATTTATATTTATTTTCCTGTTCTCTGGTTGAATCTTTCTGTGCGTTTCTTTTTTTGCTTTTTTTTTTTTTTTTTTTTTTTTTTTTTTTTTTTTTTGTTTTTGCGAATTTGTAATTTCAGTATATATGTTGTTTTTCGGTGTAATGTGTTTTGTTTAGCTGGGATTTTTTTGGTGTGAGTTTAGTAGTGTAGTGTGTGCAATCACAATAACAGACTTTCATGGACTACCCTAAATTTGTGACCTGTTGGGGTTTCGGTTGGAGAAAATGGGATGCAGACGTGAGTTGTTTATCTGGTGTACGTGTTTTTTTTTTTTTTTTAAATTTTGGTTCTGCTATTTTTTTTTGTTTATTTTTGATTTGCTTTTGTTTTGTTTTTCCATCTAGAATAGTAGTTGGATCTTTCTTGGTTGAATCTTTCTGATCGTTTTTTTTTTTTTTTTTTTTTTTTTTTTTTTTTTTTGCTCTTACTCATACTATTCTATCTTGTCATCATTGCTGTGCAATTTATGTTAAGTCTATGCAGTCTACATTTCCTGTGTGTGCAATATTTGAATATGTCGTTATGTCTATGTGTGTAGGTTCCAAATTTAGGAATGGTGTCCGTATCGAAAGCCACGGAATTCACTCTTCGAATGATGATGACTTCGTTTCTGCACCTCCCGTGGGACGCGTTCGTTCTTCTACACCGATGCAAGGCCTGAGGCAAGACGGTGCCGGTAACGAAGTTCCCATTTTTTCTCGGATTAGCACCCGTGCATCGGCGTACAAGTTAGTAGTTCCAATGAAGAAGTTTACTCCCCGTCAAAAAAGGGCAGTGGGGGAGTTGGGCTTAGACAAACTTTTTCACTTGAAGATTCATGATATTCCTAAACGTATGGGGTGGTGGCTTTTGACTAAATTTGATCCAGTCAACATGTGTCTTAGGTTGGATAATGGAGGCTTGATTGATATCCGCGAGGAGGATGTTCAGGCGGTGTTGGGTTTACCACGTGGTGAGATTGTCATCACGAAGCGGTCCAAAGATGATGTCAGCGACAAGTTGAGGGAATGGAGGGAAAAGTTTATTAGGGATAAATATGATGTTACCTTGGGCATGATTGGGCGTAAGTTTAGTGATCTTTTAGAGGGTGATGAGTGGTTCAAGCTTAATTTTGCAGTTTTAGTAGTTAGTACACTTTGCTCGACTATGGGTAACGGGTATGCTTACCAACTCATTTTCAACCACTTTGAAGATGTTGATAAGATCAAAGACCTTAATTGGTGCCACGGTTGCTACCTTCTTGTCGTGGATGGACATTCAAATTGCTGAAAAAGCGTGAGAATGAGGAGATTCAGGCTGGTGGTTTCGGGAGAGGTGGTGTTGAGCCTTCGTTGTTTGATGGGGGGATAGGTGCTGGCCATGGTGGTGCTGTGAAGGTTTGCCTCTTGGTTTCCTTTGTTTTTTTTCCATGTAATAATGTGTTTTCCCGTATTTGCAGTTGACTTTTTGTAATGTCTAATTGATTCTGTTTGGGTTTGGATGCGCAGACTGTGGAAGAACAGTTTGAAGTGAAGTCTGTACGTGCGTCTAACGCATTGGATGATCTCATGGCGTTTTTGGAAGCACACCCCCAACTGCCTGTGCGTTCACTTACTTTTCAAAAGATATTAGATGCTGGACAACAGATTGTTGTGTTTTCTGATTGTCAAGTGGGTGCGGGTCCTGCTGCTCAAGCGTCCATGCCGCAATCTGTTACGCAAGAAGATGATCACATTTGGGATGATCCTGCCAATATTCGTATTGTTGATGAGATTGCACGTTCTGTCTTACAGACCAACCCAGATTTTGATATGCCATCATTTAGTCTTGGGCTGACTCAGGAGTTTGCAGGCCAAAAGTCTGTGCAGGTTGGTGTCAATGCATGTAATGACAATGTTGCACGGGCGGGTGTTGGTGGTGGTTCTGCTATTCCTGTAAGTATGATCGCATACCAGTGCATGGAGTTTAAGGGTTACTTGCTACCTACTAATTTTAAATTCAGTTTTCTTTTTTTCCTTTTTTTTTTGTTCTTGTGTTGTTAAGTAATTTGTCTGTGTTTTTTTTTTTTTTATATTTGTTGTCTTTCTTTTTTCCTGCATTTGTCACATAGTTGCACACAGTTTAACGTAGGTTGCACACATCGGTGATCTCGAAGTGGTTCGTAGCAAGCCGCTCATTTCAACATCGGTGAAGTATGCAGGTATCCAAAATCGACGCTGTTCAAACATCAAATTAAACCAGTTGTGGTCATCTAGACCGTGTTTCATCGTTAATTCATGCCAATCGTTCTCGAATTCCTCGGCCGTTGAGTTATTCTTCCACACAATATCATTCAATCGTCTCCTGAAGTCGTCGTTCTTTGCCAGATTAGCCCCCACTTTATCGCTCACTTTTGTCATAATATGCCACATGCAGTAACGGTGACGTGTTGTAGGGAATACATTTGCAATGGCTATTTTCATGGCTGGATCTTGGTCTGTAGTCGTACATATTGGTTCCCCGCCCATTGCACGTTTGAAGTGGTGTAGCAGCCATGTGTATGACTCCACGTCTTCTTTTGCAATTAAACCCGTTGCAAATGTAGTTGACTTTTTGTGGTTGTCCACGCCTGTGAATGGTACGAACACTAGACTGTACCTGTACGGTTTTCACCTGGTTAGTCATCACAACAAACGATATCCATGTATTATATAAATTCCCTTATATTTCTTAACTTTCACAACTTTAACATTTCCACAACTATTCAATCATAATACACTCACATTCGTCTCTCACAGATTGCACACGCGTGATGTACGGTTGCACATAACAACCACCCATCAATATTAGGCTAATTCCGTTCGGCCGCATTTTTATTTCACTTATATACATCGCATTCTTACGCCGGGAAAAAAAAATCGCTGCATGGTTTACAAAAAACGTACCTGTTCGTTTTGTATGTTGCATCAAACGCCATTGCATCTCCAAAGTGGGCAAAGCTTTTGCGTCCATGTTCATCGGCCCAGAATATACGACTCAATTGTTGTTGGTCGTCTACGGCATACTCAAAGTAGTAATCTGGCCAATACTCCTTTCTTTCTTGGCATTTGGCGACAAGCTCTTGGGCGTCCCGTTCTTTCATGTATGCCAATATCTTTCTCCTATGATTCTTGAAATCAGTACTAGTTGCACCGACATGTTCAACTCCACCAACCATTTCTCCATATAGATTAAAGCTTTTGCTTGCTCCAATGTTAACCTTTCCACATTTTTCGATGAAGTCTTTATGCCCCATGTCTAGCTTGCGATTCACTTTCATGAATGGTTTAGACTGTTCTTCGCACAAACGGTGGGTGTGCCTTTCCTCAAATGATGTCACTTCGTATCCACCATTCCCGATTGTATTAAATTTTATGTGTGCACCGCAACCAACCCTGTTTGATGGACGACGCCTTTTCACCGTTTCACTTGTTTCCCTTTTTTCGAGGTATGCAACTTGCTTAAATCCTTCACGTGAGCATACCAAATATTTATGCAGTACTTTGCCCACTTTGTTTTTCCTATCACCACTACGTCGCACATCAAACCCAACTAATGCAGCATATTTTTCGTAAAACTCTATGCCATCTTCAAGACGCTTAAATTGTTGCCCAACGGTTGGTTTCATTTTCGCATCATATTTTGGGACCCAGTATGTTGTGTTTCCAGGGGAGATTTCCATGTCACATGTTGCGGTGTCATTAGTATTTTCGCTCTCACCTGCTACATATCAAAACCAATTCTTTTGATTAAACTACACTTCAAATAAGAGCGACTCACAAATAAAAAAGCAATATGCATTACAAAAAAACAAATCACAACAAAATTGCAAACTGTGAGTCGGAATACTATGTAAATATTGCTTGGTCCATCTTCTTTTATTTTAATTATACCCAAGCTCATTACTAATAGGTTGCACCCGTCGCCTTATCATGTACCACACACCAATAATACTATTTCAACTCTACCACTTCTCATTTGTTTGTAGGGGTAAACTGTGTACCCTCCACCCCAGATTGCACATTCCATATCCTCAGATTGCACACTCTCTCCCTAATTATTACTACAGTAATACTGCTCGTTCCGTCTTCTTCTCTTTTTATTATACTATAACTCATTTATTTTAGGTTGCACACGTCGCATTATCATGTACCACACACCAATAATTGTATTTCAACTCTACCACTTTCTTATTTGTTGTTAGGCTTATACCGTCTCCCATCAACATCGATTGCACAGGCCATATCATACCGTTGCTCACACCGCCCCTCAGGTATACTACGTCAATTCTGGTCGTCTCTTTTTCATCTATTTTTATTAAACCCTACCTCCTTACCAACAGGTTGCACCCGCACATTATCACTCTGCACACACCAATAATACTACAAATACTTGACCACTTCTCATTTCTGTTAGTGTTATACTGTATACCTCCACCCCAGATTGCACAAGCTGTCTTGGCTAGTTGCAAACACCATCCCACACGAATACTCCATATACACTTAGCGTTCCGTTTTCTTATTCCCTCTTATACCCCAACCCATTTCGAACTTGTTGCACACAACCTTTTATCGTTTAGCACAGACCATTAACATTACAAACATTATACCACTTCTCATTATACCCCAACCCATTTCGACCTAGTTGCACACATCCTTTTGTCATTCTGCACACACCATCACACAACTACCGCACTCATAAAATCATAAAACTAACTTACATGTGTCGTTGGTCGCAAACGGAGGAGAAGAATCCATTACTACTGTGTTCTTGCTGCTCAACGCCGGTATATTGCGTGATTAATATCAATCATCCGTTTATATACTATTTTTACGATCATAATTATATGGAAATATTATTAAATGCGATTTTGACCATATAAAGATTATTACTACATTACTAATTTGCCCTCTATAATTATTTCATTATATTCTATTCTATGTTTATTACTCAATCATGACCATTAGATTATATTTCACGGATGCACAGGATGTGTTCTTACGTTCTCACCTAAACTCATGTTCTCACTGGAACCCTACCCTCTATATATATATATATATATATATATATATATATATATATATATATATATATATATATATATATATATATATATATATATATATATATATATATATATATATATATATATATATATATCTAAAAACATAATAAGTCTCAATCAAAGTTATACCCCTCATTTATGTCCATGTTTTTAATGCTAAACATTTTGTACATTGTGCTTTTAAAATTGTACTATACAATTTTTTGGAATAAAATACCCTTACCCCGTTATAACTCCCGTTATCTTTTCCATTACTTTTACCATGCACATGCATCTACCATATCTTTTCTTATATTCTTTAATTATAGCAATATTTATAAAACATTATATATTCATTATATATTAGATTAATATAATAAATAAATTTTATTTCACTTAGATTTTAATTAGTAAAAATTTGTTAGCTATTTTTAAAAATATAAATATTGGGCATATGTTTTTGCGCATCGCGCATAGAAAAGACTAGTATATATATATATATATATATATATATATATATATATATATATATATATATATATATATATATATATATATATATATATATAAATATCGCTGTTGCAAAAATCGCGCCTGGCCTCCTAGGCGCTCTAGGCGCCCCAGGCGATTCCCAGGCGCCTAGCGATTTTTTCAATATTGATATATATATATATATATATATATATATATATATATATATATATATATATATATATATATACACACACACACACACACACACACACACACACACACACACACACATACTAGTTCTTTTACGTGCTTTGCGCAAATGAAATAATGCCCAATGATTATTTTTAAATAAGTATTTCAAAGTATATCAATGGAATATTATATCGGAGATGTTCATATATGATAGGTAAATAAATATTGAATTTGTTTATTTAAATCGGTAATTTAAAGTATATAAATGCAAGATAATATATGAGAGATTGATTATATTGTCACTAAAATAAATGTTTGCAACTTTGTAATAACGCTAGTTTAATAGTCTAAAACGATAGTCTAAATAAATAATAATTTTGGTTTAAATTTCTCTAATTCTTCTTAATTCTCTTTTGGGTAGCATTGTCATTGTCTTCATCTTCAGTACATGTCATCTTTTTTATTTTTTATTTTTATTTGTAGTGTGTCATGTGCAATTGGGTTACTGGTGGTAGCATAGATGGATTCATCGTGAAATGAGATTATGGTGTAGGAAACTTTAGATTTGAGTTGTTGTGTATATGATGGATCTTAGTTGTACTATTAACTATTTATCTTACAAGCACCTATTGATATTTGGTAGTGGTTTAGTTTTTCCCTACATGTTTCATGCGTCGTGAGATGTGTGTCGTTGGTTATCATGTGAAAGTATTGACCAAAGTATTAATATTTATTATATTTGTATAAAATACTTGGTAAATAAATATATATAACATATTTTGTATTATTACTTTGATATTTAATTACAAGATAATGTAGAAAGAAGACAATGGATAATAAATCAATAAATTTGAAGGTAATGAATCTTTGAATTGTAGAAAATAAAGATTTTTTTTTCTTCTGATGAGAGGGGGATACCCGTACAAAAACTCAAAGAAACCACCAGTCATGACTGAGAAACCCGTCTATATGACGAGGCCTCCATCCAGTCAAAGTCGATCACCTCCTCAAGCTCTCGCGGCGGCCTATCAAGATAACCTATCTGCAAGACTATTCTGTTCTCTATAAACATGAACGTAACGCACCTCGGAGAAGATTTTTATTTCTCGATAACACATACGAAGGATGTTATTAGGCATGTCCTGCCACCCTTCGCCATGCCGAAGACTATCCATCAGGTTCTTTGAATCACATTCAAGAACGACGCGTCTGGCTCCATACTCGTGTGCCATCCTGAGACCCTGTAAAATACCCCAAGCTTCCACGGCTTCAATCGAGCATCTTCCAATTTTGTAGAGAAATCCTCTTCGCCAATCGCCATTATGGTCTCGTAAAACTCCCCCGCAACTTGCTCTCCCGTCACCCAGGCAGCTACCATCGACATTCAGCTTCAACCAACCCTCCTCCGGTTTCGACCAAGTCAGCCGCGCATTCACTTCTCGGTTGTATCTTGGTAGAGGTCGTTGCACTGACTCGAAGGCTCTCTTCGTTTCGTCATCACATTGCCGAAGCCAAGTCAATTTCTGCTCCTAAGGTGTGAAGGTGCCATTGAACGTCCTCTCGTTACGCCATCTCCACAGCCACCAGAGCCTTGTGGCAAAACGCTCGGGCCACCCTTCTTCAAAGCCGCGCTTGGCATCGCCCTGTAAATTCACCGTGAGCCATGCATTCCAATCAAGACCTCGCGTGGCTTCCCTCATGCGCCTTGGTAATGATAGTTCCCAAATCTGCTTAGCTGAAACGCACGTTCGAAACAAGTGTTTTAAATCCTCGCGCTGACCTGCACAAAGAACACAATTATCATCAGTAGTAAGATGGCGTTTTGTACGTTCATAATTTGTCATTATTCTCCTGTGTTTGACAAGCCAAAAAAACACTGCAATTCTTGCCGGCACTCTCAGTGCCCAAATACGCTCCCAATCTTTATCCGGTTCTTGTCCATCGGAAGAGGCTGCTAAGCTATACGCCGATTTCACCGTGAACCGCCCCCGGGAATCTGGGCTCCTACCCCATTCATCACTGACATCTTCATCCGCCAAACCGTACCCTGCCAATCTTTCTAGTTCGTTAGGAGGGAGATGGTGCTCTAATTTTTCCCATTTCCAGCCCCTCGTTTGATCCCAATAATCCTCCACGTTAGCGTAGAGATCTGGGAGACTCAAAATATCCTGAAGCTTCCCATCCAGAAGCGTGTGGATTTCCCATTTCGAACAATGCGCGAGAGGCCTTTTTCCAGAATCTCCTGGGCGGATGGAATCCCTTTCCAAGCATTCGATGTACTCCTTCTACCCAGCGTGATCAGTTGTGAGCCGGAGCAGCGTGAATATTTCGTCATCAACGTTCTTACCCACAAAGCGTTAGGTTCCGTCTTAATTCTCCAGCTTAACTTAGACATGCATGCAATATTCATTTCGTACATTTTCCTCAGGCCCAGGCCACCACAATCTTTATGTGATGTGATTTTGTCCCAATTAACAAGACTCATCTTATTTCCCCCTGTTACCTCGTTGCGGCCCCACAAAAAGCGACGGGTCCTCTTTTCAATTTCATTACAGACTCCTTTTGGTAGCGCTGCGGTTTGCATAGTATAAATAGGAATGGCATTTAGGACTGATTTAGCTAGAGTGACACGCCCGGCTAACGAGAGCGTCTTAGCTTTCCACCCCTCTAACCTGGCTGAGATTCGTTCCAATAGCCCCGAATACGTGTTACAAGTTACCCTCCCGTGTATAGAAGGCACTCCCAAATAGCGCCCGAGATCTTCCGTTTCCTCAATACCCAGGTTAGCTGCTATTACCTGAGCAGTGTTGGATTGAACATTCTTCGAGAAAAAGACCTGAGATTTGTTCAAACTGATCTTTTGTCCCGATTCGCGACAGAAAGTGCTCAGACATTCCTGGACGACTTCCACTTACTCACAGGACGCCTCGGTGAAAAGGACCATATCATCTGCAAAACAAAGATGAGATAAG